AAGATGGAAAGGAACATCTTTAGGAATGCCAAGGCCGGTTATACCATTACCCAAGCTTTCGGGCCGACTGCAGGTGACCCACTGGTAATTATTCTTCAGAAGAATCTCCGTTTTACTGGTCATCATCTCTTGAAGGCAGATTGCTATAGGATGCCTCTCATCGACGATGCTGCGGAACTCGTTGTAATTTCGCCATACGCTGCGCACATTCAATTGAAGTACGAATATTTTGTTGTTGTTATCGATGGAGAGTATGGACATCTCATTTGAGCGGGTTGGATCCACCGGCTGATTGCACACTGTAGGAGAGGACGACGATGCGGACATTGTTTGTTCTATTAACAACATTTGGTTACTTGCCTGAGATTGCAAGTTCCACGCACCAGCAGCCGCCATAGGAATGGGAACGTCTATGGTCGGGGACAGTGCAGGAGCTTGCATGGGGTTTACGGACCCCGTTCCTATGTTACGGAGAGTGCTGGTCGAGTTTTCACTTAATTGGTGGTTGGCTGTGGGTGCTTCTCTTAGTATGAACGGTTCTTGACAAGGCTGCAGCGGAAGTATTTCGTCCGTAGAGAAATCTTCCTCGCCTGTGGCAGGCACTTGGGTGGACTTGGACGTTGGGATAGTGAGTGCGTTCGTTGGGTTATAATTGTCAGCTGTTGACTGTTGTTTACTAGTGTTAGGATTTGGGTTGTTAGAGGATTGCGTAGGTTCATTTGGTGTTGTGAGGAACATGGAAGGAAAACGATCTAGATTAGATAATTTAGGTTGTGATCTGTATTGCAGCGTACGTCGGCCGGCCGCAGAGAAGGGGTCACTATCAACGGGTTGGGGTAAGACGTCCCGGATAGATGTACCCTCCTGCTGCGCTTCCCTTGGAAGTGACGGTGGTACTACACTTTCCCACTCCTCAAACCGGGGATTTTTGATGTTATGGTGATTATCGGTGTAGGTGCTGATGTTGGGCTGTGACATGGGATTATTGTGGTTGTGATGGTCCATCAGGTGGTGGATTAGGTGATTTGAAATATTCTTGTCTCGTGTTGGAGTCGGATATATCCACCGTTTCCATCGATGATTGACTAGTTGTGTGTCTCATTTTTATCGGGCTTCTCGTGTAGTTTGATGCTTTCTTCGACGGTTGTGACATGCCTGAAGGTTGTTGCTGTTGAGTGTAGGACTGGTTCGTTCCTCGTTTTGTTTTTTCTTGCTTCCTTGTGGTTCTGGTTCACTGGTTTGTGACTCCGTTCGTACTCTGTTTTGCGCGCTTTCGATGAATTTCCGCATGTTCTTGTGCTGTGCTGTTCTCGTGTCTCTATCTCGGATTATTTCCAGAAGTTCGCTGATCCTATCGTCCTTTTGCTTGTTTTGTTCGATGATAATGTTGAGTTGGTCTTCCTGCGTTTGTTTTTGTTGTAATTCTTTCTCCAGTTTTGATATGTCTGCTTGCTTTTCCTTCATTTGATTTGCCAGTGCATTTAATCTGGCGTGATCAAGTCGAGGTTGCGCAGTTACTTGTGTGTAACTTCCGTTTCCGGCTGCAACCCGTTTTCTTGCATCAGGGTACGTTAAATTAAGATCCATTTTTGTACGGATCACTGCAACTTCCACTTTGTATATTTCACACTGACGACTACTAGGTCGGTGACTACCGTTGCAATTCCTGCAAAAAGGTTCTTCCAGGCAATCTGCTCTTTCCTCGTGTTCTTTAGAGCAATTGTAACATCGCTTGGGATTGGGGCAGCTATGGCGAGGGTGGCCATATTCGTAGCACTGAAATGGGTTCGAGTAATAAGGACGTGTTTTTACTCGCAGCACTCCGACTTTAACAGCCTCGGGGCAGATGGATCGATTGAAAGTCAGAATGATGGCAGGGGTATTTTCCTTATTGCTTTTCATTATTCTTCTCGCTTTTATTACTCCTTGTTTTTGCAGTCCCAGTTCGATGTCCTCTTCACTTTTTTCTAGCAGATCGAAGGAAGAAATTACACATCGACTTGTATTTAGCGTTGGGTGTAGTTGTATTAATACTTCTGTTCCGTTCAGAAGTTGAGTCATCCCGAGCAGTTTTTCCACCTGCGCTGCATTTCTGGTTTTCAACACATAACGGGTACTTTTGGCTTCGCTTTTTGCGCTCTCAATTTTTCCCGCATGGTCTTCCAAACTCTTTCCGATGATGAAGGGTTCAATTGGTAGCTTGCCCCCATCATCCAAATTCATTTCTTGGATCTAAATATCCGGGGAGGCCTCTACCAGATGCCCCTCCAGGGTCGCCTCCACTCATAGAGGCCATATGGTTCTCGAGCGAGCTCAAGTCACATCAAACATAGGTCAGCTTATCCGATCGTTATTGAAAAAAAAAAAACGCAGAAAGCGACAGCAGTCACCTGCTGTCTACCCCAGGTGCGGTGGGAGAGGGAGAGGGGGAAAAGGATAACTAGCCTAAGAACTTAGCCGATGCTGTTATGCTCAACTATCACCAACTATCACAATATTTCTTTACTATTGGGTTCGTCACCGAGTTATAGTTATTTCACTTTAAGCAACGTTGCTGATGCTAGGCGATAGAAACACTCGCGCACTTGCACACTATTCGCGTTTGAATTTTCAAATCCGATGGAGTCGCAAGGTTATCGGTAGTAATGAAACAACTACTATTTTTCCTGATACCCTGGTATCACGCTCGCTTCGACCCGCTAACTGAAATGTGATTCCGTGGCTACACTCGCGGTTTTGTCACACTTACAGTAACCGTTTTGTCGGGTGGCGGAGCTTTAGGATAAACCACTTGATCCGGGTGGCGAAGTCCTATTTTCCAAATACCGACAACGCAAACACTTCTAGACTCAGAGAAACTTAGCAGAACGTCCGATTTATTCGGGTGCTCTACGTGAACTGAGCCAAGAGTTTTCATGTTTACAATGTATCCCAATGTATGGATGTGGTCCCTTTAAATTTGTGCACGGTTGTTGAGATCAACCCAAATTATAGTTTAGTTTATTCTTAATCACAAAAAGTGCAGGACCTCAGCGATGAGTAAATTATCCCCATGTTTTAAAACCTCAATAAACTGCTTGAAAATGAGAAAAATTTACGAAAAATTTACAAAAAATTTACTCAGTTTAGTAGTAGTACTGATAGACCGAGAAAATCCAATCGCTACTGGTATCATATTCTGGAATTATTTCCTTGAAAAAGCGTGAAAAAGCTGGAAATCATGACGCAAATTTACTTCAGCCCTTTTTGCGATGAGTAAAGGAGAATCAAATTTGGGTTAATCTCGTTGTTTCTAAACACCCAAAATTCAGTAAGATCTACTCATTTCCATTAGAATTAGGGCTACCCAATATTGAGCAAAGATTGTAACTGACAAGATAACAAATTAACATTCGGCTCAGGTGTTCATTCGTCATCTTGTCAGTCCCAACTTAATTTACTCAATTTTGGTGGATATGAGTAGAACCTAGTAAAAGTATTGGAGGACTGCGAGGAAAAAGGAAAAGAAGGTTACATAACAACAAACTGAGGTCACTACAATACTATTTGAATTACACAACAGAACAGAGAGACCAGAAATCACACAGTTCAGTTAACACAGCTGTGGTTCAATCCGTCGAAGTTTTTGTGGTAAATCGCTCGACGCAGCAGTTCTCAGAAGAACAATTGACACTTCTCAACAAGGGATTAGGATATGCGATCTCCTCAAAAGCTGACGTGGAAGAGACCATCGTTGACGTGGAGACTGCAATCACTCACACACTTCCTATTCAATTACACGAGACTGCCAGGAATATTATTTCAGAGACAATACAAAACGGAAAGGGACATTCACTTAGCAAAACCGAAAAAGAGGAAATTCGAATTCTCAAAGAACAAAAAACAAATCCGGTATTCTATACAAAAGCGGACAAAGGTAATGAATTAGTGATTTTGGACAAAGAGGACTATGACAATCGGATGACGGAAAAAAATACTAATGGCCCATACAGACAGTTGAGGATTGACCCCCTCCCATCTATAGTTAAACATATTCAACGTTTTAGAAAAAGTGCAAGGCGTTTATTGGCAACACTACGAATCAATTGAAAGTTTCAAACCCTATTCTACCTAGGATCAATGGTTTACCAAAGATTCACAAACCAGGAAACGAAATGAGGGAGATTATCTCGGCGGAAGGATCCCCCACTCATAAGCTTGCCAAATGGCTAGTAAAGGAATTTCAAAATATGCCTAAACCCTTTTCCACTCGCTCAGTTAACAGCACACAGGAATTCGCAAGTCAGCTTCAGGCATCAGGAGAGATTCGGGAAGATGAAGTCATGGTTTCATTTGATGTCACAGTACTTTTTCCGAAGGTACCAGTAATCAGCCTTATAGATTTCTGGCTTGGGTCCCGTTAAAATATTACGTAACGCACAAATATCAGCTCTCACAAAACATCCGACAATGAAACTGGAACCTCCCTTTTACTGCAGTGCAGTTCACAAGGAGCTCCAATTTCATGGGTGATTCCAAAACAGCGTCTAAGATTTGTACTCTAGAAACCTTGATGTGATAGGGAATAGCGGCCATCTTGACTGCCATTGTTGGACGCTTCAAGGAATCACCAGAAGAAAGCCCGAACTTCATATCTGACTGCTATTTAGGAATTGATAGCAATTTTATTCATATAAGTGGATAATACTCTTACTTCCACATGATCGACATTTCTAAGCCCCCTAAGTATTGATTGGAGAAAATCAGCTTTCGGAGCTGGTTACTCATGGAGTAACCATGAGTAACCGCCATTACCGGCCTAGTTTCAAGCCATTATTTTTTCCTCGACGGGAGGGGGCTCGTCATGAGTTCTTTTCTTTGGAACATAATGGGTTAAAAGTATCAAAACAAAACAGAAAATGGGTCAAGCCCACATCCCTTCGTCAACAGTTTGTAAATGATCATAAAACCTACACCAATCCCAACATAACACACCTCCCAGATCCCCGCCAATGACTTACCTTCTCAACGTCCGATTCGGAAAAGTTGGGCTTCTTCCCGAGGCAGTTGACGTACTCCGGCGAAAGGTAGCTCTTGAGATTGACGTACGACGGTGGCATCAGCAGCTGGTGGTGTTCACCGGAACCGGCTGTCGTTGTTGTCGCTGCTGTCACCACCTCCGTCAACGGTTGGCTGACCGGCACGATATTGAACACGACTCGACCCCGGGCGGTAATTTGCAACCCGGTGGGCGATATCAGCGGCCGGACCTTCGTTATGGATGGTGTGTCTGTAAACAATGGAAAGAACGGAAAGAAAGAAATACCATGAAGAAGAGCGACCAAATTATTGTTCTTTGCCTGTTCACCGGTGGGTGGGAAATTGGAGATGACAGATTTGTTTTTCTTGTGATTTTTGTTTTCTTTTCCTACCAACAATAAGAGTGGGCGAATGAGAAGAGTGTCTGGGCAAAATGGGGACTTCAAAGAAAATTAGCATTAAATAAGCTTTTTTTGAAGATTGTGGGTTGCCTACCAGGGCAGGGGTTCTATTCTTGTCTCGTTAATGTCAAAATACATTCATTAGATAAATCCGAATGTCAAGTCGTCTGCAAATGACCCACGAGCCTCCTTACTAGGTAGGTGTGTGAATTGGACGGACAATTGATGAACTGCTGTGTCGATTGATTGAATTAACAATCAAACACGATAGAATTTAGTGAATCGAAAGTAATCGTCCATTCACAAAACGAAAACAATTTCAATTCTTTGATAAATAATTCAGTTAATCAATTGAAAATCAGCAATCTGCAAATTCAGTCAGTAAGAATTATTGATTGGCAATTCCGTAAGCCCAATCACCAGCTTTAAAATATTGGCTAATGTCTTCAACAGTTGCATCACAGACAAACAGACGTCGCTATTCAAATAAATTGTCCTATTAAATATCGTCACGGAACCCACTAACCCACATCTCACGAGATATTCGTGGAAACAATATTGCTTGCCAGGTCTTAACCAATCTTGCTTACGAGTTCGATAAAATGTATAGAATCGTCAAAGTGATCCGACTCGCGAAACTATTAATACTTATACTGAACGTTGAATGCGTGCACGTCAAGTCAGGAGAAAGAGCTACGTCTGTTTGTCGGTGGTTGCAGCATCCTTCAGGGCGTTGTTACTTTTCCGGAAAAACCACCCACCCGTCTACTTTAAGCGCGCGCAATGACCCACTTCCCTAGTCCGCTCCGCTTCGCTAAATAGTCTGATGAAAGCGAAAAGGAAAAAGAAACCATCATCAACCAAGACAATACCGCGAAAAGCCCGTTTGACAAATCACAAAAAATGGAACCGTCAGCGAGTAATGCTTGCTCCTCCCGCTCCTGTCCGGAGTCGTGTCTGGTTGACGTCGTTGTTCTTGTTGGAACATTATCTCATACACATTGTGGGAGGAAAATTGAAACCATGTCATCCGGGGTGGAGCAAGAATGAGCACAGGTTCGCAGCATTCAGATCAAAACGATACTTCCCAGCATGTCAAATTTGCGTTAAATATTCGTCGGGAAATGTTCAACTGAAAATTAGATGTCGCTGTCGTAATTGTAAATCGATTTTAAATCCAAGATAAGTTCCATTATTAAATTTTCATTTTGATTAAAAATTTGTGTTACAGTGTACTCCATCACGCAACCACATCCGATTACAAGACACGGAGCAGCTGTGCCAGCTGAACCAAGGATCACATTATTCCTAGGTTGGTTGCTTTCTAGTTCGCGCCTGCATGCTTCCCACCGCAGAACCTCACAGGATCGTAGTCCTTTTTTTTTTTGTCTTCCACTGGAATGGTGTCACCGAATTCGGAAAGCCGGAACACACCAGTCAGCTGTAGTCAATGTGTCGACATGTGTAACCGTCACAAGCTTTGTGAGTGCAATGTTTGCACTGTCCTGAGTTGCAGGATCTTTCTAAGCTTCATTCTTTTGTGGAGGAGAAAAGCTGGAAAAGAGAATCTTTTTTCTTTTTATAGAGCTCGAATTCAGAGGTAGGGATGACATTCAGGGTTAAATAAAACTCATTGTTCCGGGAAAATGTCGGCTGTGTCTGAATAATTTGTGATGTGACTCAATGTTAGTATTGAGGTGAATGATAAGCAGAACCGAGATATAAAAAAAAAAATGCAATTTGAAATATCTTATTTTCTATTTTATTTCAAAATTTATTTCATAAAATTCATTTTTAATTTTATTTTATTTCGTATGTCATAGGTATTTAGTATTTTGCATTTCTTATTTCGTATTTTATATTTAGTATTTCACATTTCGCATTTCGTATTTCGTATTTCATATTGCATATTTAAGATTTCGTTTTTCGTTTTTCGTATTTCTTATGCATTATTTTATTTCGTATTTCGTATTTCGTATTTCGTATTTTTTTGTGTTTCGTATTAATGATTGCTTGTTTCGTATTTCTTATTTCTTATTTCTTTTTTATAATTAATTTTTTTATTTCATTATTTATTATTTCTCATTTATCAATTTTCAGGTCGCATTTAATATTTCCTATTTCGTATTCGTTTTTTGTCATTACATATTTCTCATTCGTTTTTCGTATTTCGTATTTCGTATTTCGTATTTCGTGCTTCGTATTTCGTATTTCGTATTTCGTATTTCGAATTTCGAATTTCGAATTTCGTATTTCGTATTTCGTATTTCGTATTTCGTATTTCGTATTTCGTATTTTGTATTTCGTATTTCGTATTTCGTATTTCGTATTTCGTATTTTGTATTTCGTATTTCGTATTTCATATTTCGTATTTCGTATTTCGTATTTCGTATTTCGTTTTTCGAGTTTCGTATTTTGTATTTCGTATTTCGCATTTCATATTTCATATTTCGTATTTCGTATTTCGTATTTCGAATTTCGAATTTCGTATTTCGTATTTCGTATTTCGTATTTCGTATTTCGTATTTCGTATTTCGTATTTCGTATTTCGTATTTCGTATTTCGTATTTCGTATTTCGTATTTCGTGTTTCGTATTTCGTATTCCGTATTTCATGTTTCCTATTTCCTATTTCGTATTTCGTATTTCGTATTTCGTATTTCGTATTTCGTATTTCGTATTTCATATTTCGTGTTTAGAATTTCATATTTCGTACCACATTTTCGTATGTCATATTTCGTATTTCGTATTTCATATTTCGTTTTTCGTATTTCATATTTCGTGTTTTGAATTTCATATTTCGTATCTCGTATTTCGTGTTTAGAATTTCAAATCTCGTATTTCGTATTCCGTAGTTTGTATTTGGTGTTTCGAAATTCATATATCATCTTTCAGATATTTTTTATTTTATATTTCTGATACAACACTGATTTCTGATAGGGAAAATGTTGACATCGGCAATACCTAAACCTATTATCGTCAGGGGATGTCCTAGAGCACTCAAATTTGGCCAATAGAAGCTCTGAAACACAATGCATCCACATGCCAAAATTGAGCTCTAAAGGACGTTGTTTACCCCCTGACGATAATAGGTTAAGGTATTGCCGAAGCCAACATTTCCCCTATCTGATTTGAGATTTGAGATTTGAGATTTGAGATTTCTGATAACTGATAACTGATAACTGATAGCTGATAACTGATAACTGATAACTGATAACTGATAACTGATAACTGATAACTGATAACTGATAACTGATAACTGATAACTGATAACTGATAACTGATAACTGATAACTGATAACTGATAACTGATAACTGATAACTGATAACTGATAACTGATAACTGATAACTGATAACTGATAACTGATAACTGATAACTGATAACTGATAACTGATAACTGATAAATGATAACTGATAACTGATAACTGATAACTGATAACTGATTTCTGATTTCTGATTTCTGATTTCTGATTTCTGATTTCTGATTTCTGATTTCTGATTTCTGATTTCTGATTTCTGATTTCTGATTTCTGATTTCTGATTTCTGATTTCTGATTTCTGATTTCTGATTTTTGATTTCTGATTTCTGATTTCTGATTTCTGATTTCTGATTTCTGATTTCTGATTTCTGATTTCTGATTTCTGATTTCTGATTTCTGATTTCTGATTTCTGATTTCTGATTTCTGATTTCTGATTTCTGATTTCTGATTTCTGATTTCTGATTTCTGATTTCTGATTTCTGATTTTTGATTTCTGATTTCTGATTTCTGATTTCTGATTTCTGATTTCTGATTTCTGATTTCTGATTTCTGATTTCTGATTTCTGATTTCTGATTTCTGATTTCTGATTTCTGATTTCTGATTTCTGATTTTTGATTTCTGATTTCTGATTTCTGATTTCTGATTTCTGATTTCTGATTTCTGATTTCTGATTTCTGATTTCTGATTTCTGATTTCTGATTTCTGATTTCTGATTTCTGATTTCTGATTTCTGATTTCTGATTTTTGATTTCTGATTTCTGATTTCTGATTTCTGATTTCTGATTTCTGATTTCTGATTTCTGATTTCTGATTTCTGATTTCTGATTTCTGATTTCTGATTTCTGATTTCTGATTTCTGATTTCTGATTTCTGATTTCTGATTTCTGATTTCTGATTTCTGATTTCTGATTTCTGATTTCTGATTTCTGATTTCTGATTTCTGATTTCTGATTTCTGATTTCTGATTTCTGATTTCTGATTTCTGATTTCTGATTTCTGATTTCTGATTTCTGATTTCTGATTTCTGATTTCTGATTTCTGATTTCTGATTTCTGATTTCTGATTTCTGATTTCTGATTTCTGATTTCTGATTTCTGATTTCTGATTTCTGATTTCTGATTTCTGATTTCTGATTTCTGATTTCTGATTTCTGATTTCTGATTTCTGATTTCTGATTTCTGATTTCTATTTCTGATTTCTGATTTCTGATTTCTGATTTCTGATTTCTGATTTCTGGTTTCTGATTTCTGGTTTCTGATTGGTCTTCAAAGACTAGCTCAGAGATCACCAATTTGAAGTCTTGGATGAAGAACGTGAAGCGTCCAGAGGGCTTTAAGAATCAGTTCTACAGGATTTTTTGGGGCAAGCAAGTCCAGAGACTTTCAATGGAAATCAATCAATCAGTAAGCTTGTCCGAAAAACTCCATGAGGCCACTTCAAGAATCTTAATTTATTCAAACTTTGCTAAAGTGATTTTCAGCCGTGGGCTGATTCATTACTAAGTGCTGTCAAAGAATGATCACGCAGCTTTTAAGTTCTATACAAAAAACATTAAGGAAACTTGTGCCGATCTTAATATAGCTACA